TACAGGCTCTAAGTTAGGCACCTCAATCTATATGTTACAGGAAGCCAGCTACACTACTTCCATTTAAGGTTTTTCAGAACAGAAAGTGCAACCTGGTTAGCAAACAAAAACTGGTTTTAACAAATTTACACTCAACCAAAAACAAAAAGAAAGTTTTAGCTGGAGTTTTTCTTCTGATAAAATAACAGACGTCAAATGTAGCTTATAATTATGGATGTTCAGATACCAAGTACCGTACTCGGTACAACTGCAAGTACATGTACAGATACTTTTCCAGCTTCAAGACTAGAGTATAGAAAAATTCAAAAGTTAGTAGGCAGCTGTCATTTTTAAGGAGCATATGGAGCTCCTGTGATTTGTGCATCCCTGTTTTAATGTATGATTTTTAAAATAAATATATATAAGGGATGCACCGATACCATTTTTTCAAGTACTGATACTTATCCAAGTCCTCACAGATACAAGTACTGATACATTTTTGTTTATTGTCATGTGACAGTTTTTCTAAAACAATACAGACTAATTATTTCAGGACAGTGGTGGAGCTCCATAACCAGGTCCCAGCTGCAACCCTGGTAGCTCTCGTGAAAATGCCAAACTTCGGCAGTAGTATCTGAACTGGTATCTGAACATCCCTACTTATAATAGTGTCAGATATTTTACTTTTTTCAACTACTCCAAACTTTTTTAAACTTCAACAGCTGAAATCCAGTCAGCAGTAAATTATTTCTTGCTTCCTAAACAGTTGGTGCTCTCCTCTTGTCCCTTACTGTATGTGGTTGGGGCCTCAATGTTTCAAGTACATTTCCAGACCTGAATTTTACATGAAGATATTGGAGAGGCAGTGATAGGCTGACTGCTGAAGAGGAGAGGCTTTGTGGCACCAGTAGTATGGAGGGGAGGAAGCCTTTGTGAAGGAGGAATACCACACCCCTAAACTGACAAAGCTATCAAACTTTGGAATCTACATGTTCCTACTGACTGGTGTTCAGCTTTAAACTTTGTAGTGCCTGGCACAAGCTATTAAGCCATAGAGATTACAACATTTTTCAAAAAATGAGACAAGTCATGAAAATATAACACTTTTCGACTCACAATTTAACACATTACTAACCAAGATGTACTACAAGCTTTAACATGCTCTCAGTGGCTGTACTGCATAAAGTTACTTCCCATTTTAGGTGTTTTTCCTTAACAAGGTTATCAGAACTATCTAACTATCTACGAACTGCTGCTACTACATTTCTGTCTTGTAAAACACATTTAAAATGTAATTCTACTTACCACCATGTTAAACATTCCTAGTAGGACAATGTATTGCTATCTAATTGATTTATCTGTTCCTAATCAGCAGCTATTTATAACAGACATTGCTGCATATCCCCTTATGCAATGCTTTGGCTATTGTATTACTTTACATATCCCACTCCTTACACATTGCTGCTCACTATGCTTAGTTTACTGTGTGAGCACATAGATTCATACCAGATATGTTCAGAAATGAAAAGCAGCTGCTGTGCAATATTAATCATGTTCATCCACGCTATAGATCCATGACGAATGAAGACAGTCACCTTCATACCTGAATATAAGTGTCTCATTCATTTGTATATTTATGTTATACAAGTTGTTCAGCACTTTTCTACTTTACCAGTTATTCTTTCAGTATTCTAGTAGCGTTCCACTTAGCCATTCTTAGTCTGTATTTTTTTTTTTTTTGTGTTGTGAACGTACTTACCCTTATCAGTGAGTAAAATGCAGAGGCCCCTGTAAGCACAGGGGAAACATTTTGGCAGGCTGAAGTGTGTTTTGAAAGCATCCTTATGTTTATGTGCATGTTACAAACCACAAAGGGTGCAAAAGCCAAATAATTCCTTATGAAATAATAGACTGTGGTAGTTAGTTTAAAGACACACTATATCATGAACGCCATTGCGTTCTGAAAACTGTGTGCGGTTAATACATTTAGTGATGGGATTCAGTGTATTAATGTGCTTCTTAGTCAAAAGTCACAGTGAGAGTTGTGATCATTTATAACATTGCTAACGATGCTTAAACAGTCGCAGCAACAGCTTTTTTTAACCATTTTTAAAAATAGTCACCGTTTTATACAGAGATAGTCATCAAATGCAACTTTTCAGGCTGCTCACATACATACAATATTTTAAATCAGAACCTACTGATGATTCGCTTGCTATGGCAATTCATTATACCTTTTGTGAGTAATAGCACTATAGTTTTTTTTTATCATCTGACACTTTTATGAGTGTTAGAGGCTTTCTGAAGGTAGACCCTGTATTGGCCCAAGGTGTTTGGCTGCTGCCTGTACAGCTTCCAACATCAGAGGCTGTGTGTGGGAGAGTGCCTACACATTGTCAGTCATTATCAGTGACACTGAGTCCTGATGATTGCCAAAACTCATAATATTCCCTGCTGTCACTCACATAGCATTGGAGGCTTTACAGGCAGCAGCCAGACACCATGGTAGGCCAGGTAGGGGTAGGGAGAGAGCACTGTGGCTATCCAGAAGAGCCATAGGTTGAAGAAAACTACATTGCTGTTACTGACAATATACATAATGAATTGGTATCGCAAGGCCAGCATCAGTAAGTACTTATTGTAATCCTTTTATTTATGTGAGCAGGCTGAAAATTGTTGCTTTAATGACAGTGTCTTTTTAAGAATACCTGACAATACTACATTTTAATTCAATCTTACTGTCACTTTTCCTGGACAGCATTTAAAGCAGAAATACACTCTTTTGTTATTTACATTCAAGGAAGGTGCAATCTTAGCCTCTATTTGAGTTACAGTTGCCAAGGTGCTGCATATCTGATCAGCTATGACACCAGCTTTTTGAGGGCTTGAAAGTTAGGTTGATAGCTGAAATAAGCACACTGGCAACCTTGAAAGTTGGCATGCCTTGAAAGTAACTGTTTTGGGAGATCATTAAATTGGTGAGTCTAGTTCTGCTGGAGTATAGAGAAACATATGAATAACATATGTGACATTTTTAAACAAGTAATTTCTGTCCTGAATAATATCATATTTATGTTACCCCGGGATCACATGAGATGACCCTCGGATCATCAAATATGGAACATTCAGGATAGATGCTTGGTGTGCAGTTGGTCTAAAACTCCAGTGCCATCAGAACACCAATAGATGGAAAATCTTCCAACACTAATTCTGGTGACACTGCTGATTCCCATGGATTTCTTCTCACTTCCAGTTGTGGCTATGGGACAGGGAGTGAAGGGAAACCTCCCCAATGGGACAGAGATGGAAGAAAAAACTTTCAGGCGTTATCGCTCTTACTTAGTCTATTAAAAACTAAAAAGAAAACTGGAGGTCTTTAACACCAATGTAATTTGGAATGAGGAAGGCTATGCTGCTGCCCCTGTCAGCCCACAGCATCCTTGGTTGCTAGGATGCTGTGGTGGCCCGCAGCATTCCTGACTGCTTTGACACTGCTGACTGCACATTGTAACAAACACTGACGCTGTGCAGCAGACAGCATCATAACAACCAATGACTCGTTGAAGGAACTGAACATGCACTAAGGATAGAGTGACCAGGATATAGACACCCTGTTCTCAGTGCTACTTCCCACCATGACTCCATGGAAAAAAATAATGTTCCTTTACACATCTTTAAAATGGCATCAAAACTTTAAATGCATCACGCTACATCCCTCAGTATTACTGCCTATGGTATACTTTTGACATTTGACATCTATGAGTATGATCAGTAATATCATAACATCTGTACTATATTAAATATAAGTTCTGGGACTTGCGGCTCAGTGGTTACATAACTCACATACTATGCACATAAAATGTATATGTTCTGTGACTGTTTCTGTGAGTTTCCTTTGAAGACTTCAGTTTCTTCACACAGCCCAAAACTTGCTAGCAGGCTAAAGTTAAACTCCAGGCAAACAGCATAATACACAGATGAAATACATATTTGAGAGCTGTTTTACCTGCTAAAGGATTTCTATTTCTGTTTATCCTGTCCTGAGCTTTACACAGCCCTGCCAGGTCTGTACAGTTGGTGACCTCACTTTCTCTGCTGCAATTAGGCAATACTCCTAGGTCATCTGCCACCCCCCGGCCTGTGATTGGACAGTAAAGGTGTAACATCATCTATATTTTCACACTTCTCTCTTTCTCCTCCTCTGGATATGTTTCTTGTCAGTTTGTGAGCATTGATTTCCCCTTATTGGCTGTTATTGGTGTCCCTTCCTCTTCCATTGTTTGTACAGAGGGTTATAAGAAGCTGCTATCATGTGAAATCAGGTACTTCTACTAAATGCATTTTAAAATATTCATTTATTTCTCTAGATTGTTGTGGATACACAACTGGATTAATTGCTGATTTTATATGTTCCTGGATTTCAGTTTTAACTGGTATCTATAACAATTGGCCGTCATCTATTGCTCAACTTGTAGGTATATTACATAGTTAGTTCCACAAGTCAGTGACTGATGTTACTGGTTTGTACATTATCAAGCCTTGTGGACAGGGCCGGACTGGCCATAGGGCAAACCGGGCACTTGCCCGGTGGGCCGGGCCGGCCCGAACATCATCAGCTTGTTTCTGTTCGGCCCGGCCAGCTGTGCCCGACATGCACTCCAGTGTTGTGTTGTAATTATGTGGCCCGGCCCCGTCTCTCAATTGCGCTTCTATGTTTGACTCCACCTCCAGATTGCGATAGGGCAGGGGCTGTCGGGGGTCATGTGATTGGGCTGCTCAGTCCAAAATGCCCGGGCCTATTTTGTGTCCCAGTCCGGCCCTGCTTGTGGAATATATTATCCATTTATTTTATCCATTTTTGTGTGAAATATATAATACTAAATGAGGCAATAGCTATAGCTTCATAAAATTGCCATGAAATGAATCAAAAGAAATGCACCTAGAAAGCAATTGTTCACTCTCTATTTTTTTTAATTCAACAATGAAATAAAACTATTAAACGTTAAAATTGTGTTTTACAGTTTACTCTTCAAAAGCTGAGAATATATTGTGATCCAGGACATAACAAACGTGAGACGGCTTGTGAGATTCCAGGAACTGTAAGAATATGCTTATTTTTTATTGTCATGAAAATGTACAAAATCAATTTTTATGTAAAGGCTTAACATGATAAAGGGACCCTGCGCGGCCCTGAAAGCACTTGTTTTCTATGACAAGAATCTGCGATAAAATGAACATTTGGTGATCCTAAAAGGATTTGGTGTGCTGGTGACATCTTCGTATGTTTGCAGATATAATTAGCTTACAACAAAAGATTGGATTCTTCTGATACCTCTGGATCCTAACCAGGAAATGCTTTTTAACCTGCACTTTATTACATGTCAGAAAATTAGAAACACAATTTGCTAATTCAGTTTCCTGCATCATATTAAAGCATATATTAATATGATGATGTAGTTTCCTGTATCATATATGCTTGGGCAGTACAGTGTCTTTGTGTTGAGCACTTATGCTTTGCAGCACTAGGGTCCTTGGCTCAAAGCTCAGCCAGGACACTACCTGCATGGTGTTTGCATGATCTTCCTGGGTTTGCTTGGGTTTCCTCTGAATATTCTGCTTTCCTTCCCCTTTCCAAAGACATACCAGTAGGTTAATTGGCTACACAAATGTGTTAGCACATTTTGTATGCTTTTTTTCAAGCATCTGTAAATAAGGTTGCAATATTTAACTGCTCCATGCAAAAAAGATAATACATAATACATTATTTTTTTTCTTTATGAATATGTGTGCATTTGGTATTTTTTCTTTCTTTAAGATGACGTTACCTTTAAATGTACACAATAGTAGCTGCAATAAATTCTCCTTTCAGGCACCGTCTACATCCGGGAGCTGGTGGTAATCCAGTTCTAGCGCTTGAGAGCAGGACCTGATTCTTTTGTAGTGATATTTGATTGCCATTTTTGCTGTCTTGAATTTTGTTGAATTTTATGTAAAAATGAATATGCAGTTCTAGAATGGTCAGTCCTTTCCAACATTTGCACTTGTTTTATGCATTCTTTGCTGTTTTAGTCCCCAGACCATTCATCATTTACTGTAAAGATGGTGTAAAGATGTAATATGTATACTGTATAAACAATAATGTTTTGTTGTTTCTCTCTGTTGCAGAATGGGGAGGTATGTTGTTACTTATTCGAGCATTAACAAGGTAATATTTTTACTTGACTTTGAAAGGACAGAAACGTTTCAGGTTAATGGTAAATAAAACATTTAAATGCTGTATTTACTGTATTCAACTTATGCAATATCATGTTCTACTAACACGTTTTTGTCAAAATAAAATTAGGCCGAAATCTATCCAGATGTTACAGTATATTTCAGGGCAATTGCATATTAATTATTGGGTGCTCCTCTACAGATGCATCTCAACATCTGGTGTGGTATGAGTGCAGATGTGCATTAACCCATCCATGCAGACTGAATTTTCCTACATGATAAATGGTAGTTATAATACTCATATAATATAATTGATTAGGCTCGATTCACAGAGCTAACAAACAAGGATACGGATCCTTCTTTTCAAAAATGTAACCTTTTATTTTAAGCTACATTCCAATGAGATTAGAAAATTAGAGTTACATGGCTAAAAATAAAGATCCTTATCCATGTATTAAAGCTTTGTGAATTTAGCCTGTTGTCAGTTCACAGCATGACTCCCCAGGAAACATATAAATGCAGTTCAGTACAGACTGTGCATATTGACTTGGGCTGATGTACTGACCTATGACCAGCTTACCACAGATTTTGCTTAGATTTGATCTGTTGAAATGAAGTGTTTTAGTATATATTACTTTTCCTGAAGAAAAGTCCCATCTGCAGCAATGTTGCCTGCAGCCTCCTGGCTCTGACTACATCCTGATGTTTGCTGAATAATCTGCTTTTGGGAGAAGGATTGCTTATTCATTTTAGAAGCCCTTCTACAAACACACCTTCAAAATGTGGTCAGGAACAGCTTGTTTCCGGCAAAGAAATCTGTACATAACTAAAACCGTGATATGAAAGTCAAAATGTTTTAAAGCTATTTCAAATGGTGATGAGATATCTTACAACGGTTGCTACTCCATGATGGTTAAGAGTTTTAGCTTCCCACAGAATCCATTGGTCTCCTGAGCACTGGCCCTGATATGCTTTTTTAGGATGGCTCCTTTCCATTGTCGGATCCTCTTGTGTCCTTGTGTACTTGTGCGTTCTAAGCTGTGTGTCTCTACAAATGCACAGACACAGCAAGGCAAGACAGTCCTCTGTCCCCGGCTCCCCCCTACTCCCTCTTCCTTTTACCAAGCTAGACAGCTGCTGCAGATTGCTCTGTCACTTGTGATCGTGTACTAGACAGGAAGTTCAGGAAAGAGGAGCTGAGAGAGCTGGATCCAGCTGTTTGAAACATGATAACTGTAAATGCTTTGGCAAAATTGTAAAAAAAATACTTTGCCGTACAATGTATATTTGTTTGATCTCGATTCATTATTTAAGAGTTTAATACTCCTTTAAGATCTTTGGAAAATGTTTCTAAAGACAGCTTCTTGAACTCTTTGCATGTTTGCATGACAAATAGAATTATCATCATCCTCATTATTATTAATATTATATTATTATTAACCAGTATTGATAAAGATCCAAAGATATTTGCTGTTGTGTAAAATAATAGTGGACTTGTGGACTTACCAGCAAAACAAAGTTAAAGAGTATCCTTTTTTTCAATTTTAAAACTCACGGTAATACATAAACACCTGTTTTATTTGAAAGGCACATTTTCATGAAACCTATACATTTAATACATTTATTAATTTTGTAAATAATATGCAGTCCGTCAGGCTGCTAGACAGGATGACATATAGAAAACCAATAAGTATGATGAAGAGCTCAATCAATTTTCTAGGGGGGGCTGGGGGTGGACAACCTCCAGGTCAGATTCCTCTAATGCAGGGGTATCCAAACTTTTTCCTTCCAGCTGTTGTGGAACAACAAATGCAAATAAGCATTGCAAAACTCTGACAGCTACAGGAGTGCTCATGTAGTGCAGTTTTGCCAACAAGCCTAAAAGATTACTAAGAGCTTGGAAAATTCTCTCTTTTTCTCTCCTTAATTAAGTGTTAGAAAGTGCTAAGAATCACAGGACACTGGAATGGAATATGAAGTAAGGAAGTAACTTTTATTTGTTTCCAAAATGATCCCATATTAAAGTGACACTAAACTCAGGAGTTACATCTTAAAAATGCATTCAAGTACCTTAACTATTAACAAAAATATATCTTATTTGTGATTCACTTGACTGTAGATCATGAAATCGTCCCTGAATTTGTGAAGACACTGTTCTTCCTTCTGGAGGGTGGCTACTTTTGTTCCCAATGGTCCCTGTGTGTGCTGTAAAATAGCCACTGCTCCAAGCTCGCACCCATGATGAACTACAATCCTTAATACAAATTAATAAACTAAATGTGAGATTGTAGTCCATTATAGGAGTGAGTTGGGGTGGTGGCTACTTTACAACACACACAGGACCATGGGGAACAAAAGTAGCCACCCTCCAGAAGGAAGGACAGTGTCGGCACCAATTCAGAGATGATTTGAGGATCTACAGCCAAGTGATGCACAAATACGCTACATTTTTGTTACTAGTTAGGGTACTAATACATTCCTAAGATTTAACTCATGAGTTTAGTATCACTTTAAGGTCCTGTTTGTTTGAATATTTCTTATTCTGACAACCAATGTCCCTCATCTTTTTTCATTAATAATCAGACACAGTGTTGTTTAGTGTTTGCCGTGGTATACCAATTTTTCTTTTAAGATTGTTTGTATGTTATAGTTGTTAGCATTGCCTGAACATGTAAGGAATCCATTACTACTGCTTTTCAGTATTATTTCTGTGCAATACAAGATGTGAGCAGTCATGCAAAGAGTAACAATTGAAGATTATAGTTGCCACTAACACAAAAAAATTGAAAATGTCATTAAAAAAAGCACAATAGATTTAAAATATGAAACCTGAAAGAGCTGAAATATTCATTTGGAAATATATTTTCCTCACTCTCTTCCCAGTGTTTAAATGGTCCAAGTGATGTTGGCTCAACATCTGCTCCCTGTGTTTGTCCTCCTGGGGAAAAAGGACCTCCTGGACTCAAAGTTAGTAGAACTTCATCACTGAATATTTTTGTGAATTTAAATGGCATCAATTTAAAGGTATTTCCGAGTGAAACTATATTTGTTTTTCTTGTGTGTTTTTTATACAAGACAAACAAAGTCTTGCAATGCATATAGGGAGCATAACCTACCTGCTGAGCACTCCCATGTACATTCAGACATTGTTGAACTGCAGTGAGCCTTCTGGGAATCCTAGTAAAGTAAAGACAAGGTGTTCCTGGATCCAACTATTGTAGTCCTTTAGAAGCTGTGCTATGGTGGCATCAGGTCCCTTGTACCTTTTGCTCTTGTCCAAGAGGTTTGGCTGTTTGCACAGGCCCCTGTGCTGTCATTCAGATAGTCAAGTGAAGCCTCCTCTTACAGCATAATAATTGGCACATCCATACAATGCATGCAGGGATATGTAATTTCAAGTGGGAGGCTAATATCTCACAAATAAAACCATTTCAGCTAACTTAGGATTGGATAAAACTGACCAATAACATTTTCTGTCATTACATTAGTTTGTTTGTTAATTACATTGTGTCAAATAACTACAATGTCTTTAATTAAAAAATATCCTGATTGTGCTCCTGTAAAACAATTACACAATTTGGGAAGACTTTACCAGGCCCTAGTTGGTGGTTCATTCTCAACTCTTGCTGTTCTGTAAATTTGATATTATAAATGTGTGCCAGAATTTCTCCAGTCTGAAAAGAATAACAAAATGCATGCATCATGACTGTCTCGGATTCCCAGGTTGCATGATTTTCAACATATATTAAGGAAAATAAAAGTGAAAGGGGAATGGGCAAGTCTCCTGCTTTGATCATTGATTCGATCAGGAATGAACCTTGGAATACACTACAGCTATACATTGCATAGTGCAGCTGCTACTAAATGCAAATTGAGTAATCTATCATTACCAGATTTCATACATTCCAAAATCTAACAATAACGTAGTGCTCTTTTCACTGCTGTATTGAATAAATATACATATGCAGTTGTGTCTAGACTTGCAGGTATGTTGTATGTATATATATCTAGCTCACTGTTGAAGCAGAATAAAATAAATTGTCTAGACTAGCACAAGGATAAGGATCTTTATTTTCAACCAAGTGACTTGGCCGAGTCCATTTGAGATTTATTTTCAAATCTCTTTGGACTCAGCTGAAAATAATTGTCACTTTTTTGAAAATAAGGATTTTGATCCTGGTATTTTAGCTTTGTGAAGTAAGTCTATTATTTATTTTTCCAACCCAGCTACCATTAAAGGGTATCTAATGGCAAAACTTTAGAGGAATAAAGGGGAAATCTTCCAATAGAGATATTTGTTCTGGTAACAACTATCTCAAAGGGAATTTCCCTCACTCTGTAAAAATATCCTCTAGCGTTCTGTTGGGTTTACAGTGAAGGAGAACCTCCACAATGGGACACAGTTGGCAAATGAATAGCCATTTTCCAGAATTAAGTTTCTCTTTAACTCGTTCAGAGATAGGGTTTAGTTTTATTATGGTAAAGGCAACGTAAAGACTGCAAACAGTTTATTACTTTCTTCAATATTATTTAGTATTTGGGACAAGTTTAATGTGTAATAAAATATGCAATTGCCATTTTACAGGGAGATCCTGGACTGCCTGGTAATTCTGGCTCCCCTGGACAACCTGGTCCAGATGGTAAGCCTGTGAGTACTATAACATTCCATACACATACACAGTAAATGTTTTTGCTATATTGTAGCTGCAATCTGTAGTATATTACGTACAATCATAAAGATACATAAGAATATGAAGCACTAAAATAAATAGCATGGGGATGGATGGTTCATTGCATAAAACGTGATATCCATTGTATTTCTCATTGTTTCTAGCACTATGACCTTTTTGTGTCTTTGGCATGTTAATAAAAATAGACAATCATACATACTGTTTGTATCTGGTACTGATTAAGTTTGCACTCAGATACTTATGTTTATCTCCTACTTAACAAGAGTGATCAAGGGGGTTATAAGAGATAATATATCTTGTGTTAACATTATAAGCCTTACTTTTGTGATATTCTTCCTTAGCCAAATATTCTGCGTTATATAGCAATAACTCTGTGTATTTACTGTATAAATGTATATATTTTACTATTGTGGTTGCTTTTTCTCAAGAGGAAGAATTGTAAGAAAAATGTGTGCTTCTGGATCATTCAGCAGAATTTGGTTTCAGACAATTCAGACAGACATTTTGGGCCAGAAGTTAAAAAAGGCATGCTCTATGTTATTTAAATACAACATTAAACTATCTCATTGCTAAACAGCAGTAAATTCAAACTGTGGCGATAATCATTTGATAAAGGCAGTACTTTTTATTTGCTAAACATACAAAGAGACGATTTTGTGACAATTTCCCCATATATGAGGTCCACATGGTTCTAATAGATGACTTCAAGAACCAGGAGAAATGGGAGAAAAAGGCACATGTTGGGGTATGTTGGCTTATTTGCTAATCTCTCCATGTACAGCCAGGGTTATTCTGTGCTGCCTGTGGACTGTAACTGGGGTGATTGCCCACGATGCAATCACCCCAGTTACAGTCTGATAAAAAGAGATGTATGACTCTTTGGAAGCAAATCAGATTCCAACATCTATAACAGTCTTTCACTCATATTAGCAGATATGTGTGTGATTACAATATACATCATGTTTAAGTAAAGTTTCTTGCAAGTCAATTACCTCTAAGAGCATGAAACCCCAATTTTTACTTTAATAAGGGGAATGTACATTGGGTTGGGCAGGTGAGCTCTATTTCTCTTCTAAAGAATGAGGCTAGAATTGCAACACATTTAGATGCCACAACTGGCACATTTTCCCCTCAATAATCAAGAATTTACTCATCTAGACCCAGTCTTTCCCTGTATGGTGGTCTTCTGCCCTGTAATTTTTCAGAATGGCAGCAGGCACCAGGCAGGAAAGCACTTTGTTCCAGCACCTGGCACGAGACCCAGCACTGCACAACTGGAAGCTACTGTAAGGTAGGGAAGGAAGTAATACAGCTACTGAAAAGTGGGTAGGGAAGTGATGCATACATATGTCATACCAGTGAGAAGGATAGGGGAAAATGGAGGATATTGGGCAGGTGCTCCAAATCTACTTGCAGCCCGAGAATTAACAACCTGCTCATTCAATGATTGGAGCTCTAACATAAGTTGTGATATGTGCATGTCCTGAGTTTATTTGGGGTGCATGATGTAGAGTGGTAAGTGTATTTGGGGTTCATTCTACAATGTGGTGAGTGCTTTGGATTGCATGATGCAATGTAACTGGGTGCCTGCTATATTGTGCTGAGTCTAACATGATGTGTTGTGGGATGTGCTAAGGATCACACAGAGATACAATCACACAGGGGAGAGAGTCAAATCAGCAGTGAGAAACTTTATGAACAATGTGGCAGATGATCAGTAAGCACTAAGAGGTAGCACAGATCCATCAAATGACACAAGTATAAAGCATGGTGAAGGGGACCCTCTGAGGTCCTGAAAGCGCTTGCATTTGAATGGCTGGGTGAGTGCTGGTGACGTTATTTTCTATCGGATCTTTTCACGCTGCCATCTGTGGCCACTACAAGCACCCACCCGTCCGTACGGGTCTTTTTGATACTTCGGTAAGGAGTGCAGCGAGATCTTTTGATTTCTCACTCTCCCACTCCACCCCCTCCTGCTTTACCTTCATACCACATCACTTTAATGTTAATTGTGTTAATTAATGTTATATTATGAATTATATAGTAGCTATAATTTACATTTGAAAGAAAGCTTCATAATGTGCAAACATAGGTAGTCCTGGCCATAAAGTGGCTTGATACTAATTTTATATTGTCAATGCATTCATTTGCATAACAAAAAAAATATTTTACAGTTTGTATAAGGATATTGCCAGGTAAAATCCATATAACTTTCTATATGGGTTCCTATCTGTAAAAAAAAGTAGAACATAACATATGTCCTTTTTTAATGTTTTAAGCTGTGGTTACAGTTAATCCACTTTAGAAATAAAAAAGACCTGCAAAGGAAAATCTTAGGCTCTTTTTTTATAACTGGAAACGGAATGTCAATTTAGGTCCATGACTTTTGCCAGCTACAAGCAGGAAAGCCCCTTCTGCACTTGAGGAAATTTTCTATGTTACATAACTAGTTGCTAGGATACAGTACTTTTTTGGCCTTGTAATTGGAAATGTTTCTAGTTAAAAACTACACTAATGCCAAAAGCATGCTTTGATTTTAATACTAATAACGATGCTTATATACTGGATACTTTGGATGTATCAGCTGTCTACTTGCAGTAAGACTATTTATGTCTTATACAGCAGTAAATAGTACATTTATGTTTATGGTTTGGAATACAAGCTTTCAATATAATTACCTTTATAAATTAGTGTACCTCTCACTTCCTGTCTGACAAAATACTGTCAGCAGGACAGGAAGTGAGGGAAAACCTCTCTGATGGACCCCCAGATAGCTGGGAAATTCTGTAAGAGGTGCTAACCCTTCTCCACACTATCCAAAATAAAAACAAAATTTGACTGGACATACACTTTGAGCTTAACCCTTACTTTAACCCTTAGATCTCAATCCTAGCCAAAACTATTTTTTTAAATAATATTATATAGGCTTGGGAAGAGTAAATATTTCTGTCTTTAAATGATCCATGGTCCTGTTGGAGAGACCTCAATTCCTATACTTGTGAGAGCAGGAAAAGGATGAACATTAATTACTAGGGATGCACCGATACCAGTATTGATATTGGTGCGGATACTGGGCATGAAAATGCCCCGATACTGAGTTCTGATACCGGCACTTTAAATTTTTAAACACATGTGGCCGCCTGAGGTCCAGTGCTTGCTGGGGACCTCGGGCAGCTTGCTGGGGATCTCGCTGTGGCTGTCTTTTACAGCGATGGCCCAGCCACACATTTCCTCCTCCTTCCCGCCTCCCCCAACCAACCGAGCAGGCATGGGTAGACTCCCTCTAATCAACTACACACTGAAATTAAAGATAAAAATCCCCTGTCACGTACCTTATGGAGCTTAAAGTGACAAAGGTGGTCTCTCTTGCAACTCCAGTCCCAAGACCCCTGGATAGAGGCACAGGTGTAATGGGGCACGAGTGCCGGAAGACATGTGATGAATGCAGGACGGTTCTCCTAATTGTAGGTCTGGAAACACACACCAAGGAAGCAGAGCAGGAAGAGTCATGGTCAAGCAGGTAAGCAACGTGCGGGCAGCAGTGTACCTAATCAGCAGGCAGATTTGTGGTCAAAGGTAGAGCCAAAAACCTTTCATAGCTAATAAAGCCATTTTGTGAACTATCACAAAGAAACATAATATATGAAGAAAACATTGATGGCACCAACTTTTCACCATTCAGCTATTCAGTAGCCAAAATGGTAAATAGAACCCTTTATTATGGCTGATTTACTAAAGGATTTGAGAATGTTCAAACACACAAGAGTGAATATTTTCTTCAATTGGATACAATTTTCCAATCATATGCAAACAAAACAAATAAACATAAATGTGCTTTTAATATGACTATCATGTTTTTGTGTGAAAACTTTCAATACCTTTAGTAAATCAACCGTACTATATTTCACCCAATGTCGGACTCTCGTGTGCATAGTGAAATCTGTTTAATGTCTGAACACATTAAGAGTTTGTGTCGACATGCTTTTGTCCACCTTTGATGAGTTTTACATTCTCATACAAGTCTATGGGAATGCAAGGGCTCTTTGAAGCAGGTCAGAAGTAGGTCAACTGCAAGTCAAATGCACCAATCAATGAATTCTGAATGATTTGAGAAGCGTCTCAAAATTATGTCAAACTGATGCCATTGGCACAAGCCCGATCTTAAAGTGACACTAAACTCAGGAGTTAAATCTTTAAAATGCATTAAAGTACCTTAACTATTAACAAAAATGTATCTTTTTTGTGCATCACTCAGCTGTAGATCCTCAAATCATTTAAATCATTTATGAATTGGTGCTGAAACTGTCCTTCCTTCTGGAGGGTGTCTACTTTTGTTCCCCATGGTCCCTGTTTGTGTTGCAAAGTAGCCACCGCTTTAAGCTCACTCCGGTGATATATTATAATTCCAATACAAATTAGTAAACTAAATGTGAGATTATAGTCCATCACGGGAGCAAGTTTGGAGAGGTACCTACTTACCTACTCCTTACTATCTACAACACACACAGGAAGCATGGGGAACAAACGTAGCCACCCTCCAGAAGGAAGGACAGTGTCAGCACAGATTTAGGGATGATTTGAGGATCTACAGCTGAGTGATACACAAATAAGGTAGAGTTTTATTAATAGTTAAGGTACTCATTTGCCTTTTTAAGATTCAACTCCTGAGTTTAGTGTCACTTTAAGATCTTAAAATGCATTGCCACATTTACATGGGGAATTGTTGGGCTAGCTCAGGGCTCAAAATTTCCACTCGCCCCCTCGCAATTGGCGAGTGAAAATTGCATGGGGGCGAGTGGAAATTCAGGGGGGCGGTGATCGCCGCTTCAGCAGCGGCGATCACCGTATCAGTTCTCTCTCCTACTCGGTCATTGTCGCTACAGAGCGGCCGAGGAAAATAATCAGTCCGTCCTCCTACCCCTACCACCCCCCCTTCACTTACCTCTCTCCTCGCTGCTCCATCCTCTGCCCGGCCGCCGAGTCTGCCTCCTCACCGGCCGTGGATGCAGGTAGCAGAGCGGCAGGGTTAACAGTAACCCTGCCGCTCCGTGATAACCAGTGAGAGGGGAGAGCCATCTTCCCCCTCACCTGTCACAGAAGTTCTAGCACAGTGCTGTGCTAGAACTCCTGTATTGGAGGTGACATGTTCAATAAAGAGAACCTGTCACCTCCAAATGCTATCACACAGAAGATTGTTAGCTCCTGTGTGATAGCGATAGAGTTAAGTGGAAAAAAAATTGTTAAAAAAATAAACATTTAAAAAATAAATAAATAATTACATTTAAATAAAAAGGTGATTTAAAAAGTTTAAAAATGTCAATGGCAGGGTTAACAGTAACCCTGCCGCTCCGTGATAACCAGTGAGAGGGGAGAGCCATCTTCCCCCCTCACCTGTCACAGAAGTTCTAGCACAGTACTGTGCTAAAACTCCTGTATTGGAGGTGGCAGGTTCAATAAAGAGAACCTGTCACCTCCAAATGCTATCACACACGGGATTGTTAGCTCCTGTGTGATAGCGATATGGTTAAGTGAAAAAAAAATTGTTAATAAAATAATTAAATAAATACAATTTAAAAAAATAAAAAGGTGATTAAAAAGTAAAAAAATTCCACGGTCCACTTGCCATGATAACCAGTTGATTGGCAGGCTTCTTCCCTACAGGGACCCGGGCTCCACTACATAGAAGGAGGACAGGAGCCTGCCAATCAGCTTGTTACTATTCCCTGGATCTTATTTGGTGGGCGTACAGGGACAATGAGGGCATGCTGGAACTTGTAGTTCAATTACGACATGTCCCAGCATGCTCTCATTGTACCTGTACACCACCACAAATCACGGAGGGGGGTCGCAAAAGTTTGTCCTGCCCCGGGCGCCGGTTACTCTGGTTACGCTACTGGGTCTCTGTACTGTGCATCACACTGCAGGTCTCTGTACTGTGAATCACACCGCAGGTCTCTGTACTCGGCGTTGTTACTGATCTCTGTACTCTGCGTCACAATGCTGACCTGGCGGAGTTAAGGGCAGGACAGGGTAGGGGATAGTGGGACAACTTGTGGTGAGTAACTATCAAGGCCTGGCTAGTAACTCAGGACTTGAAATTTGGAGCCCTGGGCTGGCTAATGTATAATCACTCAAAGCTAAACTGCAATACATTGCAATAGAAAATAGTCCTGCATGCTGCATTTTGAGCACCTTATTTTGTGGTTTACAAGAAGATACAAGAATATGTATACCACCTAAGGCAAGTGGCTCATTACATACTCCACTGCAGAATTCCCAGGTGCTGGTTTGGCTCATTGCTCAGATCAGTCAGAAACAGAAATGAATAACCAGACTTTGGGCTGCAGCAACTTTTCTTATTTATTGGATAGCGTCATGGGTCCCATGCTTTTACCCAATAAAAAAGAAATGTTACTGCCTCCAGGAGTGCCAAGTTCAATTTATTTTTCTGACTTATTCTGCAGTTTGTCATTACAGATTGTGCAACTCTGCTGCATTTTATTTTGCTTTAAAGCTTAAATTATTATTAACTAATGTGTGTTAAATGCCATTTTGTCTGGATCATGGATCACAATAGCCAAATAGATTTTGGATCAGGGTGGTCCAGAATACATATATAACCCAATGGATATCACTACACGTCAATTACTGAGTAGATTTTACATAGTGGGAAAGTGCCATTTTTGCTTTGTATGTTGCAGTGTTTTCTTGTTGTAGCTGTAGATAAATGATCTATTGTAGCCATAATTTTTTGGGATTAATTTTAAGGCACTTCACGGTATTACACTGTATTCACTGCATATATGAATTAATTAATCACATATTAGTACAACTTCAGTTTTTAGTGAATGACTAGCAGACATCCAGTAAAAGTATATATATTTGGCCATTTATGTTACATATTATATTTACATGTTGTGCCCGAAGTGTGTGCTTTGCCCGAAGAATCTGATCTGTATACTTTCCAATGGCCAAGTACCTTGGAGGCAATGGGGAGTGCAGCATAAGCTTATTTTTCAATAAAGCCTTTCAATAGTTATTCTGGGCACTGATGTTTTTGCTTAGAATTGATAATAACGAACTGTGTGGTCTCATGCAGCAATGCATTGCCATGAGCCAGCTGGAGAAGAAATACTACCATGTGTGTAAAAATGTACTCAGTGTCTTGGAGTGTATAATTAAATTAGAGGTAAAACTCGCAGAATGACAATATTTTAACTTAATGACATGAGTCTAAGGAATGAAGATCCCCATACAGAATGGCATTAGTAGTGCCAAGAATACAAAAGTACAAGTTCAGCAAAAATGTTTTTATTTTTTGGATGATGTGGGGAAGGGTTAGAACCTTTGTAATAATTTCATCTATGTGTCCTTGTTTGACAGATTTCCACTCATTGCCTACTCCAGTAATCCCAGTTGCGGTCTCAGTAATAAAAACTGACAGAGGTTTTAACTTTTTCCCAATCATCCCAAAGTTCTGTTCCCCATGGTTCTGTGTGTTGTAAAGTAGCCACCGTTCCAAGCTCGCTCCGGTGATGAACTACAATCTCATGTTTAGCTAATTTGTATTGAGATTGTAGTCCATCATGGGAGTGAGCTTGGAGCGATGCCTACTTTACAACACACAGAGGGTTCATGGGGAACAAAAGTAGCCACCCTCCAGAAGGAAAGACAGTGTTAGCACCAAATCAGAGATGATTTGAGGACATACAGTTGAGTGATACAAAAATAAGATACATCTTTGTTAAAGGTTTAGGTACTTGAATGCATTTTTAACATGTAACTCTTGAATTTAGTGTCACTTTAACGCTGTCCCACCACCATAGGCTCAAAACACAGTTTGCCCAATATAAGCTGGCATGTTGGTACACTGATCATCCTACTGCTGCCTGGTATCTGAAGACACATTTAATTTTTTCCTACATAGGTCTGTAATAGTTTGCCTCTAAAATAAATGAATAGGTGGGAAAAATAACTATTTTGCAAGAAAAAAAAATGCTGTTTTGTAAAAAATGTCCACGTTATTTTTGTCATAATAGGGAATACCAGGGATACTAGGAAACTCAGGTACCCCAGGAATGCAGGTAATATTACAAGATTAAATACAAATAATTTTGTTCAATATCTTAATTAACATCAGCATTATATTTCAAAATTTACAAAAACTGACAGAGATCAATGCCGCAATAATCAAGCTTGTGACTTTCATAACTCAAAGTCAATTTCTGGAAAGTGTTTGTGTGTGTGTCTGGAATTACATGTTGGGCTTCATATACTTGCAGAGACTTGGTTGCCAGACCAGTTAGGTTATCAACAATCTTCCTATATGATTATATGTGCATTTATGTATTTTAGGCATATTACTTACCTGCAAAATCTGCCCTTGTGTAAACATCCTAAAGCCCTGAGACTGCTGCTGGGCACCGCCATCATAGATGTTATGTCATTAGCCCCAGAAAACTCAGAGCCCCCTTTGCAGCTACAATAAAGGTTATGTGGGGAGGTGATGAGAGGGACAGAGGAGCTGGGTTAGCACAAGTAATAGTTAGAAACTCCCAGAAGAGGAGAGGGTTATGATGTGCAAGTAGGGAGGCGACTGTGGTAGGTCACTGACTCTTTATGAAAAATTCTAATTTGCTAGCAACTTCAAAGTCACATTGCATGTAAGGGCTGGAGCAGACACAGGGATCACAAGTTTGACTTACTTCACCTTACGTTTTATATTCATCCAAAAAGATGCACTGTTATAGTATATTAGTAACACAATTAGGCGACACTGTCCATATACTGTATATACACATATGCAAACACATGCACACACACACACACAAACATCCCCCCCGAAAAGAAAAAAAAACTCTAAAACTCCAATATTTTTATATTATGTGTTATAAAAAGGAAATTGCTGAAATTATAAATCCATAACATGTGTAGCTCAAAACAACAACTAAAAATCTTTGTTCCCTCTAAATGTTTTTTGGACGTTGTGTGACTTTATTTTTAATTACATCAATGTGGCTAGTCAATTGAGTTGTTTAAAGCAGAACTCCGGGTAAAAATGTTATTAACCCTTGCATTAGGGCTACCCCTGCAGTGCAAGGGTTCAGTGCCTGTTTTTGTATAGGGTCAAAAATAAAAAGGTTTTACACACCCAATCCTCCAAGCCCACCTGCTCTTAGCTCAGTCCTTCCAGCCTTCCCCCCCCACCCCTGCTGCAGTGGTCTAAGGTTCCTGAGTCATTACGTTCTATAAACAGTGTATAGGCCGTGAGAATGCTGAGGGACATTCCATCGCTGCAGTGGAGAAGGAGACAGGCTGGAGGGAACGCTGTCACAGGAACGGGTGAGAATAACTTTGTTATTTTTTACCCTAGGCAGAAATGAGCACTTAACCCTTGCAGTGGGAGGGTAGCTCCACTGCAAGGGTCAATAACATTTTTACTTGGAGTTGTTCTTTAAACTTGTATTCAATAAAAAAAAAAGAGCATTGTGTGAATCAAAAAATAACAGTCGCGGTATAAATGATATTTTAAGGATACCTGATCTTTAGAATTGGAAGGTACACTTTATATCCTCATAAATGAAGCCCCTTCGCCACATTCCAAAATAATCCACCTGTACTGACATACAGCAATACTTTTTACTTTAATAGACCAGATTTCACTTCCAGTTTGGGTTTTTTTTTTCTGGCAATATGTCATTTTCTATTTTGTATCTCAATGTAAATAACACAAAGACCTTTATGATATTATTTTCCATGTAGGTCATAGAGCAACTTTAAATAAGAACAAAGCCCTCAAAGCTCAAACATTGGGTCTCTTGGAATGATACATATTTATAAGGCATATGGCTATCAGGCATGCTGACAACATTACAACAGAAAACAATACTAGTTTTGGGCTTTTTTAGGTTTATTTTGCTTTTTTATGTTTAGGTTATATTCATTTATTCAGTACTGGTAAGAGATCCTTTATATCCTATAACATCTTTCCCAATTTCATTAAATGAAAGGCAGCCTAAAAACATAAACATACAGACTGCATAATATATACAGTACTTTGTAAATTTTCCGGTGAAATGCATATATGTTCTACTAGGCAAATTATAAAAACACAATACTTACATAACAGAATTTACTACTGACTATTTTAAGTTGGGTGGATAAAATCAGTTACGGTGTTTCGAATTTTATCCAAGTTAGGTCATTGCATGGTACACTGTAATTTCTGTAAAACATTCCAGTGATGTAACTGGCAGCTATGCTAAATTATTTGCAGACTAATAGAGCATTTCGTATGGCATATTATCCCATTACAACTTTTCAAGACATTACTCAGTTATTTCATCAGTTATGTTATATAATAAGACAAGCTGTAAAACTTGTACAGAGAACTACATACTGTACATAGACCAAATATAATTCAATTACATATTTTAATAAGCTCATGTGTTAAAAGTTTTTGGAAGAGTGAAGGAAATTATAACAATCATATGACTTATTTTAGGGACCAAGTGGCTTACCGGGTATGAAAGGTATTTCTGGACGCGACGGTGACAAGGTAAAGTTTTAGTTTACACTGCACAAATAATATCGCCTATTTATTTGATATGAATTATGTATTTCTATTATAAAGTAACAGAGTCTTCACAGTAGATGATTATGTTTAGACAGTTCTCGTTTTAATCAGTTTTATCATGACCACGTATGTCAAACATTTCTTGAGAACAGATATCATTTCAGATGGAAGGGTTTTAAATTAAAAACACATCATGCAGCTCACTTTGTTTCACTCATGTCAAATCCATCTCCAAAAATAAAAATGTGAAGGCAAGGTTTTCATAAGCTGTCAAAGAAAACATATTCTCTTTGTCTGGGAAAAAACTGGAATGTTGTTTTCAGTATATTGGTTGTCTAATAAAATGCATGTCCCCAAGCTTAACTCTTATCTATTTTTGCCAGAATTAATGTAGAACAGTATATAACACAGTTTAAAAACATACCGTATATGTGAAATATTTTCTCTGCCAATGTATTTGTTTTTCTGTTCAGTCAGTATATAAGGCATAAGTTGAATTATAAAATACCTGTGTCACCTAACTGACCAGGTAGTGCGGTGGAGGTTTGTTAATAAAAAAGACTATTTGAACAGTTACTAATCCAGTGGAAGATAAACAAATGTACATGTATTGTCTCTATTTAGGCTGGTTAGCCTGAGGTTGCACTTTAAATCATGATCCAGATATAACCAACTAGTTTACATACTGATATACCCTAGCAGATTAAAAACCACATGCATCTACTACGTTCCTATATAGCATGTACTCACCTGGCACCTGTGCCGTTTGTGAATAAGATGACGTGGTAGAAAAGTAATCTTGCACTCCAATGAGGCACTTGCACTCCAATTAGATTTTCAGTCAATGTTCTTTATTGACAAAAGAATTGTCACATCGTATAGCAATGTTTCGGAACTGTATAGATCCGTTCTTCAGGCGAACAAAGTGTACCATGCAATACTGATCTGCAGAGGCATCTGCTGTCATCTAAGCACCCACCTATTATCTTGGGTTATATTCGATCAGGAGTGCGATGGGATCTACTTGAATTACTTATGAACAAGATAATTCTCACTGTTTATGCAATAATAAGCATGTGTTGGACAAAGCACACATAAGATCAGAGACCTAGTTGACCTATACTGTAATGCTTATTTAAACTTACAGTTTAAATGACAAATTAATAAGGAGTAATAGAAGGACTGAAATAAAAACGATTAATAGTATCCTCCTGGTGCTGGTTGCATGTTCAAAAGTGTAGGCATCTGATCTCATAATCTCTGTTAAAGGCTAAGAAAGAAAATAGTTGAAAATGGGTGACCCTCACCTTTGGTAGAGATTATGTGGCCCAATGCCAAGTTTCTGGTCTTGATATGGACATTTGATACACAATCAGCAGTTTCTTTAGCGAAGGCAAGTATTTCATCCCTTCCAATACTCTTTAGTTTGTCTTCAAGAATGTTGACATGCAAAGACTGTTGACAGATTTATTGTAACATTTGAGCAAAGGTTAGGTTTGAGTATAAGTTTATGAATAGAACTGGTACTAGCACCTACTTTTAGCGTGCCACTCTAAGCAACCAATCATGGTTATATGATGAGCTCCATTCACCGGTTTGAAAAACAAAGTTAAAGGGTGAGAACCATCAGTCGCATGAAGATGGATTAGATCAAACAAAGTAAACAAACAAATCAAAGTATGAAGATTAAAAAATTCTTCATTTATGAATATTACAATGAATGACCAAAACAGAACAAATGTACGTGCTATAAACCTCTCCAAATTTATACAGCTTGGTGATACAGCTTTCAATATGTGAGGACTAATTTGCAAATAAATACATGATAAAAATACCTAAATAATGGTGAAGAACAGCATTTTAATTTGAAAAAAATAAATAAAATGCTTACCCTAAAACTTAGCTTCTCATTCTTCTGGGAGGTGTTGACATTGCTATGACTCACTGCTATATGCTAGGAGGGCTAGGTCCTCCAAATCTAGCAAAGTGCAGTATGTTCTCAAAAAGTCTTGTTATTATACCATTTTATGCAACTTTTGATACAGGTGGTGCAAGTCTGTCATCTATTCCATTTTCACGCAGGACAAAGTGACAGTGTCTCTGCAAAGGGCGACTCCCCAACCCAATTATACTCACCTTAGTTGCCCTTCCTTGCAGCTCCTTGTTTCTCTGATGTGAGAACTGAGATTGTCTAGGTTGGTGACCCGGGTAAGAGCCAACTTCATTCCACAGGTCATGCATCAGTGGTCAGGCCTAGCTATGAGCTGCTAAGTCAGGGGACCACTAAATGTGAGTAGGTCACATGCTGGCCCACTAATGAAGTCTGGGTGTTCTCACTGGCTGTGGAGGAGCTGAGCGGTATCGTAGGTAAGGTAGGTATAATGGACTTAGAGGATGTCCTTTTGCTGAGGCACTGTCCTGCATGGATTGAATGGGAAAAATCTTAAACCTCTGGGGGGATTACCCACTCTTTATTTGTCTGGTGCCACTGAAACAGAAAGTAGGCAAAATCACCAGCACTCACAATACAGAAGATGTGAATTTCTTGTTCCTTCTTATTGAACATCAGTCAAATAAACCAATGCTTTGGGGCAACGCACATGACATCATTATGTCACCCTGAGGAAAGGACCCTGCGTGGCACCGAAATGTTGGTTTATTCGACTCATGTGACGCATGTTTAATAAAAAGGAACAAGAAATGCACATCTTCTGTTCTGTAAGTGCTGGTGATTTGGTCTTCCAGATCCTGACACTACACGGCACAATACGTGTCATCACTTCGAGCACCACAACCCATATTTTAATGGTCGATACTGTCGCCGTATGGCGTGCAGGTGACACACTATAACACATGAAACAGAAAGTAGGTACAATTAAAAATGTTACAGTTTTAATGGGTACAGGAATGGAGTGAATCTTATTGTAGAGACACCTGTTCGGATGACAATTGTCTTTTTGCTTTAGAGAGATGTCCTCTCCATTGCTGTGTCCCCTGTACAGAAAGGAGAGGGAAATCTCACAATTGGACACAGACAGCAGGAAAAAACACTGAGTGGTTTTAAACTTTCACCTATTCAATCCATAAAATGTTTTGGCTTTAGATGCACTGTAAGCTGCCATGCAAGGAAACCTCCCAGGCACTAATAAAAGAACACATTTTATTTTAATTTCTCATTATTTTCTGTTTATTTCCATTTGACATCCATTTCATCTATTACTCTGTCCACTTTTAGGAGATCCCTGAAAACCCATCTTCTTTAGGGAAGCCTATCCCACCCTAATTTATTAACTATTCTTTTACTTCTTCCATTAACTCATCCAACACAATTATTATGTTTTGTGTCACTTGACCCTCCTACTAGATTAAAACTCTCACCAGCAGGGCCCTCCTAACCCTCCTGTATTGAAATTGTATTGTAACTGTACTGTCTTCTTCCATTTTGTAAAGTGCTGCACAAACTATTGGCACTATTTAAATCCTGAATAATAATAATACTTTTCATTGTATTTCTATTTGATTTGCTTTACTGTAAATCTATGCAACTATTTCTAGTCAACGGTATTCATTTTTTGGTATGCATTGTAGGGTGAACGAGGACTGCCTGGTTTTCCAGGACCACCTGGGCAGCCAGGATCAATGGTAAAAGCATGTTGCTTTTTATAAATTGATTTTGCTTCTTGTAATAATAAATGAGATGTAAGTATTATATACTAATATACATAAAACTGCAATCAATAAGTCACTATAATTGGAGTAAAATAAAGTTCTTACAGTGACCCTGTCACTACAGTGTACAAACTATACTAAACAAACACAGTAAAATAAGATGCTGTATAATGTACGTTAATTCCAGCGGCCATTGTCTTCAAATTCCGCTGCTTCACTGATCTCTGGCCCCTTCAGATAGCAGATAATTCCAGATGTGTCTAATATCTTTTCCCACCACCTACTGTGGTACCTCCCACCACGTTGTATGTTCTCTAGTGATGTACAAGCCAGTGGGAGGAATCACAGAATAGGGTGGGAGGAACATGTAAAAATAGCATGGAACTTCAGGTCCACCCCGCAGTGGGCGGGTGCAATAGCCAGCCTGCTATTGGCTATCACAAATTGAAATAGCTAATAGCAGCCTAGCTAATCATCCCCATGCTATCTGTGTGTTTTTTTTTTTTTTTTATTCTGATGGCAGCCGCTGTGAAAATGAAAAAAAGCAAAACAGATAGCAGGGGAATCAGCAAATAGCAGAAAAACGAATGGTTCCATTCTTTTTTTTGCTTTGACGGCCGCTGTTAAAGTATTTGAGCAGTGCCAGCAGCTCAATGTCTGCTGGTTTCTGACTGGCTCCTTCGATCAGCTGATCGAAGGATGCTGGCCAGAGAGAGGCACTCACTGTGCAAATTTCAGCTAGCTCCTCAGGAACCGGCTGAATTTTGCACAGTGTTTATTATCAATAATATTGGTCAATCCCGATAATTTAAAAATCTGTAAACATTGGTCCCGATTATCGGTAGATCTGATAATCGGTTGACCCCTAATCCATATACAAAAAAAAGGCATGTGACCGCGCTGGGCCCCTTCATAAAGAATAGGAGAAGCTCAGCTGAGTGTTCTTAATAATGCCTATACAAAAAGAAGGTGAGAGTACAAGAAAGGTTCCTCAGGCTCCAACTCATTAGGAGGGTAACAGTAGAATTGAAGGAAATATATCTAACCTGTCTGATTGTTCTACCAGAAAATAGTAGACCAGTGTCTGCCTGCCTGATTGACAGGGGAACAAAACTTAATTTCATTTCTATGTGTATCTTCATTGAAACTAACAAAAACAAATATTTTGACAGACAAAGAGACTTTGCTTCCCACTTTAGTATTCTTTTTGTTGATTACAGTTTCTGAATTGTTTATATCTGTGAAAGTCCTTTTAACATCCATAAAAATCTGCAGAATATGTCAAAACAATATGGATCTACCCAATAGGTATATTCATAAATAAAATTAAAGGGTTTTCCAAAATAAGGTATGCAGTCAACATATTACACTGCATATAGTGCCTTCCATGAATTGCTTATGCACCACTTATGAATGGTCTAGTCCTATATGGTGTGTGATTAAATCATTACATGTGCACAGTGTAGTACATGTGCACATATTTAACTGAACAAATATATACATAATTTAGTAAACTAAATATAGATAAGTCTGTAAAGATGCATGTTTATCCAGATCATAGTATAACTAGTGGTTAGTCACATGCAACTAGAATTGTTGTGGAAAGTTGAAGATGTTTTGCAGCTTGTCTAACCCGCTTCTTCTAATGAGTGTCAGGAATATAGCACCGACAGTTATATCAACATGGGTAACTCAGTCACCTTAGTGTGTCAAGGCAGATGTTGAGTGTCCAAGAACATGATGGGAGGAGGGAAGCTTTGTTGAACCACATAGTTCCAATTACTTAATCCCATCCCTTGGTATTTGATGGCTGCAGCCAGGCTAAATGGCTGAAAGTGTGAATTGTTGTCAAATTGCAGGAATAGAGATGTAAATACAGAATTGTATGTGGATGACAGATGGTGTAGAAGGGCCCCACCTCTTTACCGATGGTTGTTCCAGTTTTATGTAGGTAGTCTCTTTCACACCTCTTTCAATCATGTATTTTAAATTCCTACTTTCAACATTTTTCTTTCCCATTAACAATTGTTATTGATTCGCAATGTGCCTGTGAATTTGCTCGGAAATCTGACTCCTTCAGAAGAGTCAATTTATTAGTGTTGCCCCCTCCCTCCTTGCAAATCATAGCCACCTACCCTTTTGGGAAGTACTAACTACGACTACTTTCTAACTACTCTATGTGCTGACCAAACTTCTTCACCCCTCTCCTCACTTCCGTAGATCACATTTTATATAGCTGCTGGGAAAGGAGTAAATGTCAATATTATAGAATGTCACTTGAGGCTTGAGTTTGCTGGAGCTGCTGATCCAAGATGACCTGCAGAGTTCCCCTTCCGATGTTGGGCCAGCTATTTGTTGAGAGGTTGTTTTGTCTCCCTAATATACAGGTCTTTGTATTTGCCAAGTTACTTTGCATGTATTCAAATTGGTTGGTTCTTTTGTATGTACAAGCTTCTGTCTTACGTTGCCCACACACTGGCCAAACTTCAGTCAGTGTATGGGACTGTCGGCTCCCTTTCACCCGGCATTCCTCGATCAGCTGATTGAAGGAGCGGCTGGAAAATCTTTGTATGATCAGAGATGGCAGCCAATGAGCTGCCCACTCTGTACGGGTATTCTGACAGGTGGCGGCGGCACCTGTCAGAATGCAGTGCAAACACAGGCGATTCCTCGATCAACCCGCTGTTTGTGTTGATGTAGGAATTGCGTCAATTTCTGCCCTTCAGCCCGTTGGTTGAACAAAACAAATTGACAGGTATATGGCCAGCTTTAGTGTGTTGCTGGAATTCACCAACAGAGGGATGCAATGTTTATTAAAAAATCCAGGGGTGAAGTGAAGTAGTGGCTTCTACGAGCTATAAATCATCTTCAACATTACAGAACAAGTTGAGTTAAATGTGACAACCATTAATAGGTGAATATAGATAACTGCGTTTTATAGAGTTCCCATCAGCCCAGGTGATGAATTAAATTGGATACACAAGCTTGCAGTATCATGATGCTTAGCTTCTAGCTGATCTAGTACATTTTTGTTTTCTGCACATTACATTAGGGTGACCATGGACAGAAAGGAGAAAAAGGAATTGCAGGACTAGATGGAAAAAAGGTAGGTATAGATCTTGATATGTATTTGAATGTAAAAATAAGCATGCACTTCCTTTTTGTCCACTATATATGCTGAAAGAGACCAGTAAACTAAGAAGTAACACTTATTTTGGTTTTCTAAGGGGTCAAAAGGCGAGAGGGGAAGTCCTGGGTCATTTGGAAAGCCTGGGAGACCTGTAAGCATATTTCTGTAATATTCATATGTTGCTGTTTATAGATTAGAGATAGACTTGCTAGTGGCGATGGTTTTTTACTGATCTCTACTTCTGTTATAAAAAGTTGTTGCTTGTTTCATAATTCTGATTTCACATTTGTTTGACAGGGAGAACCAGGAATGCATGGGAAGGATGGTATACCTGGGTATGCTGGAGAAAAGGTAATAACACTTTAAAAAAAGATGTGGAAGTATTTTGCAAGCTTAAATAGAATGATTAAAAAGATATCACCTCTGAGTAGATGGCATGTTTCCTATTCTGTATATTTTTGGGTTTACAGTGTTGATATCTCTATTGAGGGTTAATTGGTATTAAGCAATAGCCCGCTATATACTGAGTTTTGGGTCACTGGAGGACATTAGTATATGTCCTCCTGTGACCCTGAAGAGAACTAAGGCCAAAAAAAGGTTAGGCCATAGTTCTCCTTTAATTAGATTCCTATCGGTAAAGGACAGCACAGGGAAAATAGCCATAGCTGTAGATATTGGCAAGGGTGATAGACTGTGATCTATGGTTAAGGAAAGAATGCAAGCTAGACACATAGGATAATAAATACAGTTAATTGCTTTACAGTAGTATCTGCTGCAAAACGTTAGGCTGACTGAAATAAGATTTTCTTTAGAGTGGAACATCTTAAAAGGTACAGGACGCCTGTTGCTAGTTTGAAACCTTCTGAAGCAATCCATTACTGTGCAATGTACAGGACTCCAGCCCAGATCTGTGAGCTCACAAAAGGAAAAGTTCAAAATTCCTATAATAGTTAGCTTAGCTACACAGGGACAAGTGAACTGCTAAATCACATTCGCTGTTGTTGCAATGTGATTTCATATGATCATTTAAGTGTTGGTCTGTTTTCTTGTTTCAGCAAGTTGTCACCACTGAAAACATTGTGTATTGTTTACAGTTTTCTGTCTCACCATGTCACAAAATTTTAAGGGTGTCACTAGATTTAGGCAGGGGCTAAATTCATATTTTCATCTAAGCAATACCTATAGGTGCACTACAGATGGATTAAATCATTTATACAAAAAACAGATCACACCATTTTTTGTACAGATATTGACAAACATGTTTTGTTTCTCTCTAATTACTTTGTCCTATTTTTAGTTCCTATCTTTCCCTCAGACAATCAGATGTGTATTTTATCAGATACTAGCCACATATATGAGGTATACACTTACCTTTTTCACAATTGACTTGAAGCTAGACACATTTCTGTGTGTCGCTCTCAGCTTTCACAGTGTGCATTGGTTTCTGCTTTTACTCCAAATTCATCTCATCATCATAGCCAGATATATACTGCATTGTTATATGTCAGTGTTCATTTAAGCTACCAATAATTTGCACTCATTACCTTAAAAATCATCATTATTAATCACAGTCACATATAAAGCTGATTTGTTATTTGTCATTATTTACCACACATTAATTCCTGTAACTGTTCTCACTTATTTTGTGCCATGGAGTTGTTGTCATTACATTTGTCACACACCCATATGCAAAGACTGGAAGATGTTAGCATGGGTGCCTTTTAGGGTCTGTCAGTGAGTAAGGGTCATTAAATAAAGGGTAGACCCTGCTTCAGATAGAGGAAGACAGGAGACACCCTAGAATAATGTGTTCATTCTTTTTTTTTAAACAGTTGGATGGACCTTATTTTTGCCCCCTCCTCCTTCAGTAACACTTTGTCCTGAAAGTCATAACTGGTATCACAATGACAGGGGGCCTTTACATTTTTAACCCTCTAACCACAGAGATACAGGGCTCACATTTTGGTGTTGTAGATTATGTCTTGGAAACTTCTGCCTTACACAGCTAGTGCTTCGGTCCTAGATATTGGTAAACTGTAAACACATTATACTATTTCACCACTGATGGCAACTATGATTGAACAGCCAGGCAGTACAGCAAATGCATTATTGAAGGTCATCAGCATGTTGTGCTGCCCCTGGTATTTATGGGCTAAGCAAAAATTTGAGCCCCAAGTGTACATTTTTCTTTTACATTTCGGATTTGATCAAAAAAATGATCATTAAAGCAGATGTTTAAAGCGATATTAAACCTTCCTTTAAAAAAAATATATTTGCTATAAGGAGGCTGTTGTTTGTTTTCTTTCAAACTTTTAAATTCCTTGTTTTTAAGTGGGTCCCCACAGCGCTCTTCTCCCCGCACCCTGCACAGGTGCCTCCATCGGCTAATGGAGGCACCCGTATGCTCGTACCCGCAGTGGCTTTGTGCGTCCATAGTATACGAACACACCGCACTATTCAGAGAATTCCAATACTTCAAACTTTATTGAAATTCACATTCATATACCTCTATGAATAAGCCTACTGGTGAAACACGGGTGAAACATGTGAGAGGTTGTAGCTGGTTGGGGGTGTGCAGTGCTGGTATTTGCTGCTTTATACACTTCAATTCACTTTTATACTGGATTTGCTGTGAATTTCAATAAAGTCTGCAGTATTGGAATCTCTGGATAGTGCGGTCTGTTTGTGTACTACTACATTCCAAGGTGGAGACGCACCTATTAGATCAGCACCTTGGGAGTCCTGGTGGCGGCTAAGGAATTGGAGCGGTGAGATTTCCTTTGGCTCTAGATGCGTCCATAGACACACACACAGACCTGTGGCAGGCCATACCCCTTCTCTCTGAGAAAAAAAAATAGTTTAAAAAAATCTAAATAAATGTGAAAACACTGCAACATTTTTTTCAAAGTTCCTAACCCCTGCAAATGCACGCATACTAATGCAAACATGCGGAAAAAGAAAGAAAGATTTCCCCACACATGTTAGGTATTGCTACATTCACTGTAGTGTGAGCAGTATTTCTAGAATTGTCATGCTTAACCTGAATGATGACCTGTAAAAGCTTTAACCACTTGAAGACACCCCCTTCCTGGCCAGGCCATTTTTCAGTATTCAGTGCTGCGGTACTTTGACTGACATTTATTTCGTCATGCAACGCTATAATGAAATTAATTTTATACAATTTTTTTGGGACACATCAAGCTTTCTTTTGGTGGTATTTAATCACCACTGGGGGGATTTAATTTTTTACTATATTAAGGAAAAATTACTGAAAATGTTGAAAAAAAAGGTTTATATAAAATTATTATTACCCATTTTTTTGGTAAAATATAAAAGACAGGGTCATGTTGGGTAAATAGACACCAAACATGTCAAGCTTTAAAATTGCGCGCATCCGCGAAATCGCAAGAAACTACCATACCCAAAATTGACCATAGGCGACTCTTTAAAAGCTTTTACCACTCATCAGTTTAGTGTTATTAGTTATTAATGGCCCTAGAATTATTGCTCTTACTGCGACGTTCTCTGCGATATGTAACATGTGCGGCAGTAAGGGGCGCAATCGTCGTTTTCGCATGTATACGCAACCGACGCATGTTTGCACCCGTGTATGTATGGGTGGGGACTTTAAAAACATTTTTTTGTGTTTTTTTAATTCTTTTACATGTGTGGCTTTAATTTTTTTTTGCAACTTTAATTTTGTTTTCCTATTTTGTTTTCACTTAACTTTATTGTTATCACATAGAGGGCTAAGAAACCCCCCTAAGTGATAGCAAAGAGGATGTGACAGGTCCTCTTTATGGAGACATCAGGGGTCTCCAAGACCCCTAATGTTACCTAGGGACCCCCAAAGAAGCTGATGAAGCAGATATCTGAAGGCAGTTAATGACATTGCCTATAGACAATTTTAGGACCCTTATTGTTTTGCTATTTTAAAGGTAATATATTGTTTTTATGTCAACTCAAATTAACTTAAGTGCATTTATTGCTGAAAATTTGGGTTTAATACTCTAATATCATGTGAAAATGCAACTGCCACCATTTTATTAAAAAGGGTCTCTGCTTTCAGGAAATATATAATTCTGGGTGTTTGTAATATTAAGCCATAAAATGTGCATTTTAACATGTATGCAAAAAAACTCAAAATGGATTTGGTGGCAGAAAGGTTAGGGTGGAAGAGGAGATCAACATGGGGAGAAAGAAGGCCTTATGCCTCAAGGCAACCTTATCATAACACCAGGAAGGGTTTCTTACGGGATAAGGCTGCTAACTCAAAGGTTTGCTGCACAGAGGTGATGGCAATAAAAAGCCAATTGCTTAGCCTTCATAAAGGTAGGGATAACCAGATCTCATCCAGGCTTGTGCAGAACTTCAAGTCCTCCTGCCAATTTTCCACACCTGGGATGTGAATGACAGCCAGGATCAGAACATGGAGTTCTGCCCAAGCCATGATGAAATCTGATTCTCTTTGAGCCAAGTGATTTCTGTTGCCTATCTGATGACTGATGTAAGCCACTGCCGTGTCATTGTCTGACTGAATCCTGGTCAGGTGACCCCACATGAAAGGGGTCCATCATGTGGAGTGACAAGCAGTTGGTCCTAAGTTACAGAATATGGTAAGCTGAGTTTCCTCCAACAACCAAGCCCCCTAAACCCAAAAGGTTCAAAACAGGCTGGCATCCATCATGAGAAATCATTGGTTGGAAGGATTTCCCTGACTCCAGCGACAGATTATAAATCCACCAAATCAGAGAGAGTTTGGCAGAGTAGGGCAAACACGTGGGACAATCCAGGAGTCTGTTTACTCCATGCGGCCAGAAAGCTGAGTTGCAAAAGTCTGAAGTGAAATTGGAAGTACAGGACTGCCTTGAATGTAGGCTCAGGCCCCTCATACAAAATCAAATAGAGAGCTAGATCCTAGGCTGAAAGGTCCAATTATTTGAGCACAGGGACAAGAGTTTTGCATGTGGAAGGAAGACCCTGCCCTGGACCGTATCCAGGAGTAGGCCCAGATGCTCAAAGTGGTGAGTTGGCTCCTGCACTAATGTCTGTAAGTTGAGGACTTTGATGCTCTGCAGAGTAACTATCCTCTAGACCAGTGGTTCTCAACCTTTCTAGGGCTGGGACCCCTTGGTAACATTTGCCAAGTTGTGGTGACCCCCAACGGTAAAATTTAGGGATGACGTGGCTCCTGCAGCGACATCTGGCGGCATGGCGGGAGAACTGACACTGCTGCGCTAGGAGAGGGCTGAGGAGGACTCTCACCTAGCACAGCAGAAATCACACAGCGACCCACAGCTTGAGAACCACTGGCGTACGCCGTCAGAATAAAAAAAGAAAAAAAAAACACC